TCCGCGGACCACTAGTGGTCCGTGAGGGTACTGCAGGTGGTCCGTGGAAAGGCAAAATAAAATACAAAGTAATATTTTTTTACCTTCATTTTACCAGGAAATTCCCATAAAAAAAAGTAAAAAGAATATGTAGGCCTATATTGATATAAAATTTAAATTAAATTGTCAAGTTATTGTGTGATTACTAAAATAGGCTAGTGGCCTATTTCGGTGGATAGCAACAGGTTCTCTGAAGAGAAAAGAGGCAGAGGCAAATATTTTGACATTATATTAAATATTTGTCTGATTATAATTTCACCAACAATAATTCTGGATTGCCTCCACCAAACAAGTAAATAAGAAATAAGCAAATCAGAACACTGCTCGTGCTCGCCAAAACAGCAGTATGCGCGCAAGTGTGAACCAGTGTTTCTTGCTGTATCTTTTACTGGGGTCTCCAACACGTCGCTCGCGAGGTACCAGTAGCTCGTGGCCTGATTGGAGGTAGCTCGTCAAGGGCTACATATCGTGTCGTTTGCGCTCTCAAGTTCGTTATTTCATGTAGGCGCACGGCAAGCGCGCTCATAATTGAAGCGACGCGCTCATTTTTTCCAAGCGCAGCGAGATGAAAACACCTCAACTTTTCATAATGCCGCAAACGCACCGCCGTTCATGTGACAAGAACAAACCAATCAGCTTCATCCTTTCCGTAAACATTGAAAGCTCAGTCAACATGAACAATGGGGGTGCACCGGCTGCACCCAAACACTACGGGTGTTTTTCTCTTCTCCGTAAATAAATCTTGTAGCAGAGCTACAGCAAGCGTTTTTCGATGGTGTAAATCTATTAGCTACTAAAACTTCTTTGTCGTTGTGGAGAGCGCAGTGCATGGTTGCATAGCAACGACAGACAGCACGGGAAATCGGACCGAATTTTATTTTTAATAATAAAAGATTGCTAATGTGCATCAATGTAAATGGCAAGTAATTTATATTTTTTTGACTCATTCTTTTTATAAAAATGATTTAAAGGCTGACATATGTGAGGTTTATCTTTTTATAAAACCTTTTTTGTGAAAAATTATTTAAAGGCTGAAATATGTGAGGTTTATCTTTTTATAAAACCTTTTTTGACAAAACTTTATTTGAATTTCATTTTACTATATGTGCCTATAGGGGTGGCAGGGGTTGGCGGCAATGTAAGTATCTGGATATTTGCCGCGGGGCGAGGGCTTCGATTACCTCTCTCTTTTTTGACCATACATGTTTGCATCCCTGAAATGAACCCGATTATGCCCTCGGGCGCTTGAGTAAATAAATCAATTAAATATGTGGCAGCCGTTGTGTGCAGTAAACGTTCTTTTAACAAGCTGTTGTACTGATGTGATGACCAGTTATAGTTTTAGTGCTAGTAAGCCTATTTAGAGGTGCGGATTAATTCAGGTAGGACTGTGTGTAGACATATTTTATTATGTGTATTATGAGGTGGTCCGCGAAAATTCTTGATTACAAATAGTGGTCCACACACACAAAAAGTTTGAAAACCCCTGCTCTAGTTTACACAGTGTTTTGGTGTCCGTGTGTGTGTGTGTGTGTGTGTCCTGCAGACGGTCTGGTGCTGCTGAGCAACCGCCCCGTGACGTCTGATGAGCCTTGAGCAAGCCCACACTCTGAGCGCAAGACCAAAAACTGCACAACTTGGATAGATCAGTTGTGAGCACTGGAGTATTTTATATTATACATTGTTTAGTGACATTATTTAAGTTTACCTGCAGGGTTTAATGGTTATACGACTGAATGCCTGTTTCTCAACTATGTTAAAATACGCTTCTGCCTCAAAAGTGAAATCGAAATTAATCTTTAAGCTTATATAGGGCCGAAGTAACACTTTTTGTTGGAGCATCAGTAACTCAGTGGTTGTTTGTGCTAGATCTCTCAAACTTTTGATTCACGGTATAGCCACATTCGTCTACTACGAATAAAACTCACTTGGACATGTACTAAACATTTACAGATTATGTGAGTTGATGTAAAATACAAAGAGTTTCGTTGTTACATCATACCCCACTATTGGGGTGATTTGTATCACTATCCGGGGGTAAAAGATAATTTGCTAAAATAAAGGCATATTTACACACCCAAGTTAAGGATGCTCTGTGCCTGCTCAACATTTTGTGTAAATATGCAATTTTCAGCATAAAAGCCAGACTAAATTATGCCAGCTCTGACACACTTCAGCCCTAGTATTACAATTGCTGTGTAAATGCATTTATGCCAACACTGAGTAGAATTAATCAGCCTGTGTAAAGAAAAGACACCTAAATAACATTGTGGAAGCTGTTCTGTAGCACCTTGGTACCTTTGCAACGATAACACATTTTGAATAAAGTAAACTTTTTTGTATTTCTTTTGGAACTTTTAACAATTGCTGTGTGTGTGTGTGTGTGCTGTATTCCTGTCACATAAGGATTCAGTCACCAGATACATTGCCTTCCACCTATTTTTATGTGAATTTTGGGATATCGCATAAAAAAATCTGGATGGATTCTCACATCAATTCTAAAAATGTGCTAAAAAAAATGATGTGCTCAGCTGAGACGGATAATGTTTTTAACTACAATGGATTTTTTTTTTTTATGTACAGATCGGTGGAAAGAGGCATGGTTAAATTCATATAAACTTTGTATGTTAAATAAAGTTAAAGAGGTACACTTTAAAATACTTCACAAAATCTACCCATGTCAGGCTTCCTTATCAAAACCAATGGACATTGGCAACAATTGCACTTTTACAATACACGAGGAAGACTTCTCATTTGTTGTACAACTGTGATTTATCTTTACATTTTTGGTCTGATGTTAGTTCTTTTCCATTTTCCCCAAGAAATGCTAATTATAAAATATTTATAAAAGATGTTATGTTCTTATAACCACAGAAGCAAATTGTTTGAATATGTTGTGAACTTCTACATTTTTTCATGGTAAATATCACATCCATAAACAAATATTTGCAAAATGCACACCTAAATATAATTTCTTCTTAGATAAAATATTTGCTTGTAGCTTTTCTCTCTCTCTCTCTCTCTCTCTCTCTCTCTCTCTCTCTCTCTCTCTCTCTCTCTCTCTCTCTCTCTCTCTCTCTCTCTCTCTCTCTCTCTCTCTCTCTCTCTCTCTCTCTCTCTCTCTATATATATATATCCTTCAGAATGTTTGTGGCAATGTAATATCTATCATTTGAAGCATTCTTTCTTGACTGTATGTTGAAACCTGTTATAAGACTTATTTAGTTCAATAAAAAAAAACTGTTACAAATGACCCAGTGTTATACTAACTCCCCGATCTTCCCTAAATTTCTTTACAAAACTAAAAAAAAAGTGTAATGGAATTTTAATGCAATGTGTGGGTTAAAGAAAACCAGACAAAACAGTGAATTTCTGGCAGCCATGCACTATTTTTTTAACAAAATGTAAAAAATGTTAGGGTTTAAGGTTGAATCCACTAGGTGTCGCCATTCGGCTTCGCTGACCTCTCTCTGAACAGTGTGACTGACGTTTTGAACTGACAAGTCAACTTGAAGTTATTGTGAAATTGATTAAAACCTTCACACACTTGCTTTACTCAACTGGTACAAGATTTTATGAAACCTTAAAGAACTCAGGTTCAAAAGTTTGCAGTAAGCAATCCAAAATAATATATTAAAATGTTGTCTGTGGTAGCCATGATGATTTTAAAGTCTTGTCAGATTTTAAATACAAGTTGCTTCTTAAAAAGCGACTTATAAATGAGAACAATCAATCCTTTTTTCACGTTTCCGGGTTCAAAATCGGGTAAACTTTTATAGTGGTGAATGAGAGACTACAATATATTTTTCGTGTTCCCATTTGCTCAAAGATCAAACTCCACAATAGTGTTTTGGCAACTTTCAAAAGAGGAAAAATTAAATATAGAGAGATTGATAACGGGAGTCAGAAGAGAGATGTCAACTTTACCTTCTCCCCCAAACACCCTCACAGCAGCGTTAACTATAGTTCTTGTAATTTGGTGAACATATAATATAATACAATTATAGTGTTGTAAATGTACACACATTGAGAAAAATAAATATATAAACGTTGCAGGATTTACGATGCTGATGACCGTTAAAACTATAGACTGTAAAAAAAGAAAACACGTCATCAGTCTGTGAAAAAGGTCCATAGTCAAAAAAGCGGTTAAACCGACAAAAAGGGCAACAATGTAAACATGTCATTTGAACATGTCTTTTTTACTTCAAGTCTTTAAACAATAGGCCTACACTATGCCAGCTGAAATCTAATGGTATGCACAGAAAAACACATATACTATGCTATCTTTCATTTTTGTTTATGAAATCTGCGTATGCTAGCCTAATACAGCAATAAGTTATTGCCAACACACAAAGGGTGGGGCAAAAAAAAAAAAAAAACATTCTCGTGACAAAAAAATACACAGACAAAAATGAAACCGTGAAAAAGTGAACCATCGTCGGCGCGTTTAGGAGACGTTTGCCACAGCACTGGCGTCAGTGTCCGTCGAGATCTGAAAATTAATTATTCCTACTATGGCGAAGGCCTAGTTTTTAACATTCATAAGCAAATGTTCTCCATTGGAAGTTTAAGAAGCAACGTCGACACAATCTAATTAATACTCACGAGGCAAAACATCAGGGCCAACAGAAGGTGGACGAAGCAACGCTGTCACTTCGCACTTTAATATTCATAAGCTTAACCCCAGTCATAGTAGGATCGGTGATTTCGCTCTGGGTCTAATGAATAACCGGAAGCGCTCATCTCTCGGATCTCAGGCACTTCGCTCTTTTTCATCACAGACTTCTGCGAATTTATTTCTCGCTGAAAATCCCTTGGAGTTTTCTTCTTACTTAGGCTAACTTACTTGGGTAAAGTTGCCCACACTGAATGTTTTCCTCCACCTTGGATCACTGCATTAAGTTTTGCTCCTGGACGCCGAGGATTAATTTTTCCCTCATGTTTGAAGAAATTCCCTGATTTTTTGCAGAAAGATGGTGAGTAGATCATGAAGTGCTGATGAAAGCTATTCAAATGTATGATCAAGAAAACATGCTTCAGGTTATAATTAAATGCAAATAACAATACCATGCCTGACGCATAAAAAGAGTTTAGTTTAACAAGGATTTTTAAAATGTTGGCTGAGTTTGTGATGCTACAACTCAATAACATGCTTAGTTTTTAGATGATTTTCTCATTCAGTTGGTCTTTGAGAGTATGCAATCTTGACAAGAACATTCACAACTCGGTTGTTTTTTCTATCATTTATGTAAATAGTTTAGGCTGTGATATAGGCTTACTTTTCTGTTTCTGCATACAGTACGTCAATGTTGTCATAACAGCATCCGATGCACATGAAAAAAAAGTTATTTACATATCTGTGCATTGATTGATTTGTTTCGTTTTCCGACATCCATTTATATATGTCTGCACTGGCCTCTGCGACACGATTTTTGTGCTTTAATTCCAACGTATGGCATTTTATAATATCTCTCGCTCCTGATGCATTTGATTAACTTAGTGCAATGCTCAAACGCAAATAATCTTGAAAACGATTCAATTCACCGTGGGATTTTTTGAGAAAGACATGTCAACTGTCCTAACCCTGGTTGACGCCCTGGAAATCCACTTTTCCAGTGATTGATTGAACCTGCGGTGGAATAGATGATGCCACAAGATAAAAATAGTTCATTCAACTCATACGAACTAGTATTTTTTTTTTAAATCTTTTTTTTTTTTTTTAGGCTACTGCTAAACACCGAATGTAGTTTAATGAACTACGTGCAGTTCGACTCCAGGAATCGGTTCTTTCGAACAGTTCATTTCAATAAACCTAATTCATCACGTGGTATATAGCCTTTAACGTGATCTGTTTAATTTATACAGCAATGTAAAATATGTATTGTGTACAGGTCCAGTTTGTTTTTAGCTCCGATTCAGCTCAAACTAAAAATAATTTAAATTAAAAATAAATTAAAAAATCTATTCAAAATGCTATTGGGATGTAATAATGAGACAAAACGATCATACATTCAAGTTTAAACTTACTTTTGCCCTATCTGTCAAATCTGCACTCAAAAGCTTTTATTCAGATCGCGCATCGATTTTCGTCTTGACTTGGACATGACTCGGTTTAATTAATTGGTGATTAATTGTTGATTCGACAACTGCTGTGACTCAAGAATCGATTAACTCAGATTCGCAAACTAATTTTTCAAATCGGTTTGATTTTATTTAACTGCAGCTAATCAAACAGTGGTCATTAGTTAAGAGAGGAAGGATGGCACGTGGTTGTAATAAGCCACCAAAATCATCTCACAATCTCTCTTTAAATTTCGTGCAGGATGGATTTTATTGAATAAGGCATGTTCTTCTGTTACGCCCACCTCAGCTAAGCAGAACAGTCCAGGAGACGCCAATTTAAATTAAATCAGGTATTTCTCCAAGGCAGGCAGGCAGTCATAAAGGCTGTCTTCCCCAGTTACATAAGATGAGAGAAATTGTGCTCGCATTATAATGTAGTAGGCTAGTAGACTACAAAACACTTTGTTTAGTTTAAGGTTGTTTTTCATGGAATAATACGCCAAAAATGTCCCTATACCTGACAAATATCCAAATTGCAGTCCTGAAAAGCTCTCGACTCTCCTGTCAATAATTGTTTTTGGGCGCCTAATCTATCCAATGATGGCTGTAGGAAGTTAGCAAATCGACTGAAATCAATTACACGACACAAAAAAACTGTTCGCCCCTTTATTTCTTTAATAATGTGATGCATTTATTCAGTGAATATTCCTGTAAGAACTGAAGGGGACGTAATCATTTGATTGGAATTGATTGGATCTTAAGTCGACTGGACATATAGTCAGATGGTTGGAGAGAAGTGTTGAAAAGAAGAGGATTCTTCTATATATTTAAAATGTAAAATTTTTGACATTTTTACTGGCACGTTTGATCAGTTTACGTGATAAAAGTCTTAATGCACTGTTTTAAATAATAACTGCAGGTTGAGTCATGCTTAAAGACCAGTATTATGAGAGCAAAAGGGTCCATTTTGATTTTACTTAGTTGTAAAATGTAGTCAAGTGTAATTTTAGCACACATAGTGGCAATGAATATTTGGGACAGTTGGGAAAAGTTGGGACATTTTGTAAAAATGAAATAAAATCAAGAATATGTGCTTTGTTAATACTCTTTAATCTTTATAACAAAGAAAATATTTCCAATGCTTTCAACTTGATTGTTTTCTGTAAAACACATTTTGATTTTGATGGCTGCAACACACTCCAAAAAAAGTTGGAACAGAGGCAAAATAAAAGTCAAAAGGTTATAGAATATCCAAGTTAAAATGTTTTGAAACCGTCCACAATAAGCAGGTGAACTGGTAATAGGTGTGTATCGTCGTGATTGGGTATAATAGTACCATCCACCAAATACTCAGTCTTTGCAAAGAAAAGATGGGTCATGGAGGCTCACCACTTTGTGCTAAATTTCACGAGAGGATTGTCAAACAATTCAAAAATCAAGATTACAAACTTTCTGCCATCTACTACCATACATAATATTGTAAAAAGATGCAAGGAATCCAGATAAATCTCAGTCTGTGTCGGGCAAGGCAGGAGACGTCTGTTGAATGTGTGTGACCTTTGAGCCCTCAGATGGCATTGCATGAGAAACCATCATGCTACTGTGTTAAATACAGTCATGTACTCACAGGAGTACTTTAGAAAACCTTTGTCACTTAACACAGTCTGACACGGCACCATGTAATGCAACTTGAATCTCTTTTTTGCACAAGGAGAAAGCTATACATCTGTTCAATGCAGAGATGCCGCTGAGTTCTCTGAGCCCGAGCTCATCTCAGATGGTCCAAAACACAGTGGGAATGTGTGCTGTGGTCAGATGAGTCCACGTTTCATCTCAGTTTTGGGGAAAAATGGACATTGAGTTCTCAGCCCCAAAGACAAAAGGGACCAACCAGACTTTCATCAGCAACAGGTGCAAATGCAAACATCTTTATGAGGGGGCGTCAGTGCAAACAGCATGGGTGACTTGCATACTGTATGTGTGAAGGTACCATTGACATGGAGGCATGAAGCAAGACAATGCCACAATGCCAGGTCTCATTCTGGACGTGCTACAACAGTGTTTCGAAGACACTCTACACCTGCAGTCCAGATCTGTCTCCTATTGAAAATGTACTCTATGGCCCATCATAAAAAGGAGAATCAGAGAATGACGACCACGGACTATTGAGCCGAGTCTTGCATCAGGCGAGATTGGGCAATAATTCCACATGCAAAACTGCAGCAATTAGTATCGTCAAACGATAGGAAAGGTGATGTGACACAGTGGTAAACATGTCTCTGTCCCAACTATTTTGGGATGTGTTGCAGCCATCAAAATCAAAATGAATTTATATTTACAAAATAGTTAGTCAGTGAAAATATTGGAAATATTTTCTTTGTACTTTTGTCGGTTCAATAAGGGTTAAAGAGAATGAACGAATCACAGATTCTTGATTTTATTGCATTTTACAAAATGTCCCAACGTTTCTGAAAATGGGGTTGTATATTATGTAGGGGTGTGACGAGATCTCGCGAGACTAAAACATGACGAGATTTCTCGTCGATTGAAAAGCTGTCTTGCGATATCGCCATGACAGAGCGTGAGGGTGAGATTACCATAGAATATTCCACCGCTACACTCACATTCGCCTAAACTATCGTTTTGCTGTTTTTATAAAAAAAAAAAAAAAAAAAAAAAAAAAACATTATAAAATAATGTAAAAGTCTGCTCTGCTCATCCAGCACGAGTTGCAATCAGTGCAGCACGAATCACAGTTCACTGATCGCGTGAGGATGGCGGAGGATTCGTTGCGCAACATAGACTAACGTCTGATTTAACGTCCATATGTCTTATTGTAGAATGTGTATAGGGAGCAGCTGTGCTGAGCGTGCAGAGTAGGTGCGATCACGAAAGTGAAAGTAAAACACAAGCTCCCTGATGTGCATTGCGCACAAATTAGGCCGCGAACATAAAATAGTCCGGGCGTCTCCTAATACCCATCTCTGGACTGTTTATTTGCGGCTATGGTCTCAGTTTGCACTTCGAATATATTGAGAGAGTAACTTACTTAAGGACAACAGACAAGGGAGGCTCTATTTCTGAACTTATAATCGGAACGCAAGAACAACTGTAGAGACAAACACACCAGCCTCGTTTCTCTCTACCTGGCCTTTTCCGAACTCACCGCATTAACCCTATAACTGCCGGAGCAAAATAAAACAGCAATTTGAAAACAATTATAGAGTCTGTGTGCTAACTTTGATTATGGTTGCACTTGCACTTGTTGTTTGCGCTTTAAGACTTCAAGGAGTTCAGTTAGGAGGTCACACACAGCCTCAATCAGAAATCAGCTCTTAAATGTACAGGAAGGGCTGAAGAGACTAATGTGAAATCATACAGAGAAAAGCCAGTCAATAAAAACCTTTTACAGTGCTTGTATATTGTTTTCTTTCAATGCATTTGATAATTCATACTCATAATGCATGTCATTTCAGGTCTACTTTATAAGATTATTACTAAACATTGCAGAATGCACCTGCATACTATTTTTCCAGTCATGAATTTTGTCATTGAGGATTTCTGAAAAATTGTGCAAAAATCTCGTCTCGTCTCGTTCTCGTGAACCCAATCTCGTGTCTCGTCTCGTGAGATAAGCGTCTCGTCACACCCCTAATATTATGAAATTAATATTATATTATATAATCATAGTAGTAGATGTTTCACCAATGGCTTTTAACCGTTTGAAATAGTCTGTTGTTTTTCTCTAATGTTCAGTCTCTTTTCTGTTCTAATCGTGTAGAATCAGTATTAAAAAGAAATGCATTATAATCTGACAGGAGGTATCAATGAATATAGGCTGTTAGATCCATTACTGAGAACAGTTTGTGATTCAGAGGCGTTTTGCTAAGTGCTCTTGGAGGTTTTTAGTTTC